CTCCAGAATTGGCGCCGACCTATAGGTAAATTTAATTTTGGAATTACGCGGCTCGCTAGCCGAGCTAACAATAGTGCGGCGCACAACTCTAACCGTGGTAGAGATACAACTTTCAACGGCGCTACTTTCGATTTTGCGCAAATTAAATTAACAACACTATTTCCAGTCACATTGGTACCGCGTAAATATAAACAGGCGCCATATGCCTTTAGAGACGCATCCGCAAAACCATGTATTTGAAATTCTATATTTATACCTCCACCAATTATTTTTCGTGGTATTGATATTTCGTTTAATTGTGGTAAACCGTCTCGACATTTACGCCATTCGTTTTGAATATCTTCCGGTAGCGGCTCATCCCAACCAGCCTTTACTTGCCACAGACTTTGCATTATTRATTTGGCATTTACTATAACCGGACCAAGSAATCCTAACGGGTCGAATATGGCCGCAATTTCGGACAGTATCTTTCGTTTTGTCGTTTTTGTAATGTTATTTTCTATTTGGCGCACGGTGTATAATAACACGTCATTATCCGAATTCCAATTTAGGCCTAGTATTTTGGTTGATCCGTTATCGCCCATAGTCCGCACGCCGCCGCTATTGCACTGGACGTCGTTAATTAATTCTTTATCGTTGGAYATCCACTTGCGCAATACCAAACCCGCGCTCTTCATAATTGCATTAACATTATCTCGCAATTTTATGGCTTCGGGTTTACACATGGCGCCACCGAGATAATCGTCCATATAAAAATTTCTTGTAATTGACAAACACGCATCGGGATAATTTTCGTATTCAGTCTCCGCCAATTTTTCCAAACACGCTGTTGCCAAATATGAAGCGGGCACCGTGCCGTACGTTAACGTATTAAGCCGGTAGCTTCGTATCGGTTGCGTTGTATCTGCTCGCCATAACACACGTTRGTAACTTCGATGCTTTTCGGTAACTAAAATCTGCCGATACATTTTTTCAATATCGGCTGATAATACGTAATTATACGTCCGGAAACGTACTAAGATGTATAACAACTCATCTTGGATCATAGGCCCCTTCATTAAAACGTCATTAAAGCTGACGCCCTTATTAGTTCTACACGACGCGTCAAACACTACGCGTAATTTTGTAGTCGAACTATTTTCATTACGGACCGCGTGATGTGGTATATAATATGACTCCTCGATACTGCCGTTATGATCATCGTTGATAAGTTCCATATTTCCCAGCTTTTCATAATCGGACATAAAATTACAATATTCCGTCTTTAATTCGGGTCTTTCTGGAAACGCCTCTCGAGTGATAATAGTCGACGCATCGCTATATCGTATGAATTTCCTAGTTTAGTTTTGTCTTTTTTAAACGGTAAATGCACGATAAACCTGCCATCGCCGTCCCGTTTAACATTTTTGTCAAAATMATTTTTGCACGYTTTTTCTTCTAAAGTATATATTTTCTTTGCTTCATACTCCTCGAGCCGCCAGAATGTCGCGATTAATTTTTCTAAGTCCGTCTCCGCTGTCTCACTGACCGATAAACATACCACACTAGACGAGTGTTCATATTCGGATTTTTCTGGAAACCCTATCGGACCTGACACCACCCATCCTAGGAACGTCTCTTGGAACACCGGTCCGTTTGTTATTGRTTTAAGCCGTCCAGATTGCATTAAATCGAAAAAGTGATTTGCCCCAATTAATAAATCTATTTTTTGTGGTTTTAAAAATGCTGGATCCGCTAAATTTATACCATTAGGAACCGTGTAATTTCCTTTATACAATTTCGATGGTATATTTKTTGTTATTCGTTTTACTACCAGAAACGACGTTGATAGTGTGAACTCGCTATAATTTGACCTGATTGTCGTATTCACTAYCGACGACACCGTCTGCGCGCTATCTCCGATTCCCGATAAATTATGATGAACTCGCCTTTTCTTCAATCGTAAAATTTGAACCATCTGTTCAGTAATTAAATTACTCTGCGACCCCGAGTCTAGTAGTACCCTCCCGGGTACTAAATTACCCGTATCGTCKCGCAATAATATTATCGCTGTTGYTAATAAAATACGATCGTCCGCTACAACCGAYGCGTACGCACTTATGGACGACTTTGACTCTTCACTATTCTCGTTCGCTACGGCCATAGTCGAACTTGCCGTTTGACCTTGCTTTCCTTCGTTTGCAGTCGATTTATTTTCGGATCCGGCTAAGTGCAACAACTTATTGTGCGGCTTTGCACATTTGAAACAAAACCGTGCGTTACAGTTTTTACCTTCGTGTTTACGTAGGCAGACTTTACATAAATTCAGATCAGTCACTCTTTTTATTCTATCCGCTATATTTAAACCGCAAAATGTAGGGCACTTATAAATCGTATGCATTAGTCCACACACATAGCATTTCAATGTCGACGTCGACACGTATAATTGCGACGTACTTCCTTTTTCCTGCCGTTTTTTTGCATTTGGCTCCGTTGGCGCTCGAACACCTATGTTTTTTGCGACCTCTATCGCTTCTAATACTTTGAATTTCGATTCCAAAAATTTAATTAATTCTGAAACGGCCGGAACCTTATCATGCGACGATTTTGATTCCCAATCTCTCAATGTGGTTTTATCAAKTTTTATCGCGATTAAATGTATTAGTAACGGGCCCCAATCCGTCGGTCGTTCGCCTARTGCCTCTAACGCACGCATGTGTCCACACACCTTGTCCGTAAATTGCCTTAATTTTGCCGCTGATTCGTTTATCATTACTTCAAGGTCGTATATTGCCTTTACGTGTGCCTGTACTAATACCCGTTTATTATTATAGCGCTCAACCAGCGACTTCCACGCCATCGTATAATTATTTGCCGTCGTCTCTAAACACTGTATTGAAKTTAATGCTTCGCCKGACAGTGACGCTCGCAAATAGAAAAATTTTTCTATTGAACTTAGCGCACTATTTTCGTCAATTAATGCCGAAAATATATCGAAGAATGACGTCCATTCATAATAATTTCCGCTAAATGTAGGTACATTTAACGCCGCTAATTTAACCGCTGRCATTACTTTCTTTTCGTGCCCTGTTTCACTATTTTCCTTTATACTCTCCACCACGCTGTCCGTTGGCGTAATTATTTTTTCCGCTGCCACTACACACTTAAAGTAGAGATCCTCAAATATCGTCCTATACTCGTTTTGCGCATCCATGTCTACTCCTTGCTGCATCTCTATTAGTGATTGAACCTGTTCATACTCCGTCCAAACCTCTTCGATTTTTTCTCGTTGAGCTTTTATCTCGATTGGATCAACCTTTGAGGTTTGTAAAATATTCCAAAAGCGTGTTATTGATGCTTTTAATTGCCCTCTTTTTAAGTTCAGATTATCTACTTCCCCCATTTCGGTGTTATGAGATATACGGCTCTACAAATGTGGTGACTATCGAGAGTACGTACTACGTAGTAAACAGTAGCTACTATATTGGAGTTCGGGTAGAGACTATGATGAACTTTAATAAGATAATAGGATAATATTAATAACGCCCTTACCTTACACTTCACGTAGATGACTGTTAGCCTTCACTGGATTTATACAACACGTGCCTGTCAGTGGTCTGCCGTATACTGTATTTKCACTCGCCGCACTTTCGATTTATTTTTTACTCCGAATATTTTATATTTTGTGAAAACTTGAATATTTTTTGAGGTTAAACGCAACGATACCTCGTGGTGCTTTTCGACACCATCAATTCCGCACCTTTACGCGTTGAGAATTTTCTCTTTTTTTTTTTACTGATACACAGATCACGGGCGAAGGACCAAATGTTAAGGTGAATACAACGGTGTATTTTTAATAATTAAATTTATCATTTATTTTCGTTTGTTTTTTTTTGTTTTTTCGGAGTGCGGTGCGTTTCG